TGTACATGTGTCTTATGTTAGAAAAGAGCCAGCTTGCCTGAAGGACTCTTGCTACAAACATGGTGAGAGATTAAGATTAACTCTGGGTTTTGGGAGACCATTGCAGGGGAAAAGTGAATGAGCTTCGTTGTTTGGAGGCAACTAAAGACTTTAACCGTCGGCTGTGTGAAACTGCTGGCATTCCTGAATAAAAGGAATGTTGGAGATTTATTGGTGCGTGTGTTGTGTTTGGGGAGCCGGGTCAGAACAGGAACACTGTTACCTTCCCACCGAAGTGGTACCAATTAATCTGCTCGCATTTATTTGTATGCCTTCGAACTGCTAGGTGGGCAGAAAGGGGAACTCAACCTGTTGCACTTGAACTCAGGTCTTGAACTCGGGTTGTCAGTTCTCCAGCTGGCAAGCTCAGCGTCTTTAACGGTTTAGCCATCATGAGCCAGTGTTAGATTAGAATGGGTCAAATTCAACCTTGGAAGCTCACTGGGTGCCTTTGTGTCAGGCATTCTCTCAGCCAATTATCTGCATGGGAAAATTGTGGGAAAGATTGGAGGAAGGAGTGCTGTATATGCTACCCTGGGTTCCTGACAAAAAGGGCAAAAGACATCCAGGATCTTTGTACTTCTGAAAAAAACCCTTTACTTGAAACCTTCTTCCAGTAGCAGCCTTATTTGGTATTGTCTTTATCGCCAGTAGTACCTTCCTACTTTATTGCAGCCTTATTGTCACATTTCCTAACTTTAAATACATAATTTTATCTTTGGTTGCTTAAAGTATCATGTAGTAAAATTATTTTACAATATATAAAAATATCTACACTTCTCTTCCCTCCCCTACCTTATAGGTACATTAACCATTCCTGTGCACCCAACTGTGTGGCTGAGGTGGTAACCTTTGAACGGGGACATAAAATCATAATTAGCTCTAGCCGGAGAATCCAGAAAGGGGAAGAGGTACGATTTATATGGTTTTTGGCACTACACATATATTCATATACTGAATATTCTGCTGCTTCTTTTTGCAAAGTATAAAATATTTGGTATTGATGGCTGGTAGACAAGAGTCCTGCTCTTTAGGCTAAAGGTAAAGATCTGTAAGAACCTTAGAGTATGCTATCTAAGGGGAAACAGTTTCCCATCTGACAGATGAGAAATGCCTTTTTGTTTTTCCTGGGATGCACCCTATTGAAGGCTGGCATGTTTAGTATCTGGAGGGAATTTTTTTTTGGCATAAGACCCTTTAGCAGCTGGAGCAATTTGCCCTTTGCTAAAATGCAGACCAAAGGTATTGTTGGGGGGGGGGGGAATGTCCCTTTTATGGCAATGAACTGAGATTGAAATAACATATTAATAAAATAATATGATAAAAACAATTCAGAAGCAAACTTTGTCCAGGAATTAATAAGGAAGGACCTGAATTATATCCAATAGTTCCAGACCTAAAAGCAACATTCTAGGGTTACCTTGAGACTTCTTGTCTTTTAAGAGAGTTGTTAAGATGCCCCTTATAGGGCTGTGCTGTCTATAGACCAGCTTGGTCCAGTGGTTAAGACTCCAGACTAAAAATGTGGTGAGTTCTAATCCTGCCTTAGGCATAAAAGCCAACTGGGAGACTTTGGGCTAGTCCCTCTCTGATGAGGGTGAAGATTCGTTCTCCGAGCTTGTGGATTGGTTTCTGAATGTTTCGTTACCAGACTAGGTAACCTCTTCAGCAGAGTTCAGGGGATGTCAGTGTTCTTCTGTTTATAAGGGCTTTGTGTGGTCAGGAGGTCTTGTGATGATGGGTCAGGTGTGGGTGTGTCAGGTGGGGGTTTTATGATGGGTCAGGTACGAGTGATCAGTGGGAGTCTTGTGATGGGCAGGTACGAGTGATCAGTGGGAGTCTTGTGATGGGCAGGTACGAGTGATCAGTGGGAGTCTTGTGATGAGGCTACATCAAGGATCATTGGAAGGTGAAGTGCAGGTTGGAGGGGCTTGCGTGGGTTGGTTGAGGGTCGGTGCTGTCTCTGGTTGGCTGTGCGGTTAATTTAGATTCTGAGGGGTTTGTAGGCTGGTTGTAGGTCAATGTTGTGGAGTGCCAGGCTTCAAAGAACTCATGAGCATGGTGAGTGGTAGCGTGGTCAGTGACCTAGAAGACCTACTGACCACACCAAACCTTATAAACAGAACACTGACACTGACATCCCCTAAACTCTGCTGAAGAGGTTACCTAAGTCTGGTAATAAAATGTTTGGAAACCAACCCACAAACTTGGAGAACGAACCTTCACCCTCAAAAGACACCTGAGCTACAGATATTTGCCACTATTACAATCCCCATCTCTCAGCCCAGCCCACCTCGTAAGGTTGTTATTCTGGAAAAATAAAGAGAAAGGATTATTAGATATCCCATATGCTAAATATGGGATATTTATAAAAAGGCAGGATAAAAATAGCTGGTTTGTACTTTTAATTTTTTATACAGATGTTCAATAAGAATGTTGAAAATGCACACTTCTTTTAATTCTGAAATAATAATTAAAGCTAATTGGCCGTTTTCATTTCAGCTGTGTTACGACTACAAGTTTGATTTTGAAGATGATCAGCACAAGATTGCATGTCACTGTGGGGCTGTAAACTGCCGAAAATGGATGAACTAGATGCATTCCTTATTCCCTCTGAGGGCTGCGTGTCCCAAGGAAGAAGTGATTTTTGATGCTGTTCATTTGCAGGGTGGGGATGTGTTTTGTGTATGAAAACAATCACTTCTCTCAAGTTATCTCTTCTACTCCAGTGTAAAGTGAGCACCAGAAGCCAGCTGGCAGAATATGGAGTTAGGCCTGGCTTCCAGGTACCCAAAAAGGAAACTTATCTCCAGACCAGTCCAGCACTTTTGATTTCATTAAAAGAGAAATCTCTTTTCACTAAAGAGAAATCAGATTCGGGCAGAGAAGCTGTGGCTGACCTGCTGAAGGGCAGTGGGGCACTAATGAATGTAGACTGAAATCACCAGCGGTAAGGGAGATATCCAAAGTGCTGGCCACCGCCTTACTTATTAAAGGGGCAGGCCCTCTAAAAACAGGAAAAAAAAATTAAAAACGTAGACACCACTGAACAAGGAATGTACTGAAATGACTTCCTTAGGGATAGAGCTAAGGGAAAAATAACTTGCACTAAAATACATTTAAAATACTTGATTCCATGAGTCAGTTTATTGTAGTTTTGATTTCTGTAAAATAAGAGAAACTTTTTGTATTTATTATTGAATAAGTGAATGAAGCTATTTTTAAAAGGAAAAGTTAGAAGCCAAGCTGCTGCTGTTACCTGCAGAACTAACAAACCCTGTTACTTTGTACAAAAATGTAAATATTTTGAGTATAAAAGTACAGTATAAAAAATAGGAGTTGACCAAATGCTACCAGATCTTGCAGCAGTTCGGGTGCTTATTAAACTTAATAGGGATGTTACAATATGATTTCATGTATTAAACATGTCATTACAATTGTTGTGGGTAACCAAAATCTCATTTTAAGAGAGATTTTACTTTATTTTTTTAATCTTTAAAGCAGGCTCAGTTATGCTGTATTGACTTTTTAAAACAGCCCTTCAGAGTGATTAGAGAGCATGTAAATTACAGCAGTGTTTTTTGTAGATGTTTGAGGAAATTTAGATTAATCTATTTTATTTGTATTATATTGTTACATCCCTATTTCTTAAATCAGGTTTTTTTTGTGTGTAGAATTTGTGATAACTGTGAATAACTGCTAAAACCACCCAAACTAGATGCTGAACACTGATTTTCTTTCCAACAGAAATAGTGGAGATTATATGAATTGTTCAGCTTACACTAAAATTATGTAATGAAACTAGGAATGTGTAGTTTAAGTCAATAGCTGCCTTCTTGAAAAGTAAAATCAAGGAAAAAAAATTATAGGAATTGTGCTTTCAGCTGCAGGACTCTGCCAATAGGATTTTGAAAAAAAGTAATTTAAAATGTGTTTGTATGAATTGTTTTTGTTTACATTTCTTTAAAAAAAATAAACACTGTTTGTGTTTGCTTGTAGAACCCTAATCAACATTTTGAACCAGGTTAGCTTTTTTATTTTGTACTTTCAATTCTGGTACTGACACTTCACAGTCTAAATATTAAAAAAATGAAGTTTTTTGTGTGCACAGCTAAAGTGGACTGTAAAACTGGTAGTATATTCAGTGATACAGCTCTGAACTTGTAATGTACATGGCATGATGTATTTTTATCTTACAGAATAAATCACTGTATATATTTTTCTCTTGATAATAGCTGTATGAAATTTGTTTCTTGAATATTTTTCTTCTCTTGTACGATATTCCAACATCCTACCAGTATTTGTCTTACAAGTTTTTATTCTGTTCTGTATAATAGTTATCTAATGTTGGCAAAAATGAATTTTTGAAGTATACAGAGTGTTATGGGCTTTGAAATTTGTGGAAACAAATTTAGAAAAATCGGCATTTACAAATAAAATATTTTACATCTATAAATACTTTAATATTTTCCTTTATGTCAGGATGCAGCACATCCTGAATGTTATTTCCAGGGACACACCGAAAAGGCTGTTTTTGCCATCAGGATGATACCTTATATAGCTCGATGCTATGACCCAAATCCCAATTCTACAAAAACAGATGCATATACAAAAAGGTATAGAAAACATAATTGCGCAGAGTATGTCTTATGCATAGCAAAACTTACATTATTTAATATGTTATGTTAGTAGTTCTAATTAAGTCCCCCCCATTTTGGACATCCTTACTGGCTATAGAACCTGCTTTATTTAAAAATTTTAAAAGCCTATTTAAGATGATCGTAGCCCTCTCCCCCCCAAAGCCTTTGATTATGTCATATGAATAGAGCACAGCTGATTCTGCATACTTAATTAGGTAACCTGATGAACAGAGGACTAGGAAGAGCTTTCTATCACAGACTGGCTGGTTTCATTAAATTAAAATAAAAGGTGCTGTTACAAAAGTTAAATCATAAATGGCATAAGGTTCTCAAGCATTTAATGTACACTAGAGACCAAAGGGACAGTTGCTAATATGAGTGTCAATAACACCTAGTGTTAATAATAAAAATGCAATACAACATACATAAAAATGGATATTTGTTCTCTCCCCACGATAATGCAAAGATAAATCATAAACATTTTTCTAAGCTATACTTCATATGCTGCCTGGTTTTAAAAAGGAATACTAAAACCTTAACTAGAATCTACTACCATTTGCAATCTTTAATATGGGCCTTAAACCTTCACTCCATAAATTAAGGATCAGGATTCCCGATGAAAGTTTTCAGTACAGTATCAAATTCAAGCTTCTCACAAATACTTATGGGTGTCAATATCTTCTAAAATGTAAAAAGATCTGGTTTTTTTTTTTACCTCTTCACAAACAAGTGGGGGTAGAACTGAGTATAGTAAAAACTCAAGCAATGTACAGGTAAGTCCTAAACATAGAATCACCACTTATCAACCATCTGAAGTTACAACTGATCCAAAAGGGGACTTAAGACCTGGATTCCAAATTTTGATGGAGGTTCCTCCAGAGTCACATCACCAAAATTTGGGCACTTTTCAACAAGGCTCCATTTACCGCCATCTGCAGCATCCCACAATCATTGACCATGTTTTATGATGGTTTTGCCAAAAACTGACATTTACATCCAATTTTCAGCAAAAATGTGTCTGTAGAGAACCACTGGTTTGCTTACCAACTGCCGCAAAAAAGTTATAAAATTGCTTTACAACTATTACGACGTAACAACCATAATGGGCAGTCTCTATTATAGTCACACGTCAAGGACCATCTGTAAACTTTTTAAAAATGCTGTTTTATACTGTGTAATTCCAAACTGCTTTACAAGAACAGAAAAGTCATGCCACCCGCCCTTTGCCCCTCCTCCTCTCATGCAGAATTTCTCAACCTTAACAAGTTTAAGATGTCTACGCTTCAACTCCCAGAATTCCCGTCAACATGCCAGCTGAGGAATTCTGAGACAACTCCCACAGTCACCCTATGGGCTTCCTGGCACACATGGGAGCCTTGGTGGGGGCTGCATTGAAGCAGGCAAGTGCTACTTGGTCTTCGGAGTCATCAAAACGGCATCCTGAACGGGTTCAAATATTACAGGACATGACAAACGAGACATTTAAGTAGGCTAAAATTAATAAAATTATTTACAAGAAAAGCAGAGCTAAAACATACTTTTTTTTCCAGAATTCCAGCCATAAATGCAAATGAAAAAAGTACCATAATATTCTGCAAGAAATACTGGCAAAACACGGTAGGTTTCTGACAGACCATTTAGGCCAGCTTCATTAGATGCATCCACTAATTAAATTACATTGTCCTAATTATGACACAGAGTACTTCCATATACTGTTGAACTCCAAGTAATGTCATTGCACTTCTACTCCTGCAGAAAGAAGGGGCAAGAAATGCACCCGCTTCTGTTCCACACTTGAAAGATTGCCGTCCATTGTGATTTTAACCATTAAAATAATTTCCTGTAAGTGTTCAGGGTTAGAAATAGCAGCAAGGATTGCCAGCCTTAGAAAATAGTGTACTAAGCTAAGAGTCCCTGTGCAAGTGGGCATTCCTTGAGGCAGCACTCAGTTCTCCAAGCGCCACTGCTGAAGGGAAGAGCCATCGCAAATGGCCATGGTGACGTAGCCTTTGAGATTAAGTGGATCAACCACCTTCATGCACTGCCCAACAGATACCTGATACAGCCGATTGTTTTTCTGCAGAGAGAAACAAAGCAGGTGAGATAAAACGGTTCCAAACTTATTTTTGCAGCTAAGTTATTCCTTTTGGCAAGTTGATAGGGTTACTTGGGGGGCTCCTGTGCCAGCTCTGCCTTTAATAGCAATAATAACAGCAATAACTTAGATTTATGTACTGCACCATTGTGCTTTACAGCACTCTCTGGACAGCTTACAATGTATGTGTTATTTGAATATTGCCCCCAACAATCTAGGATGGAAGCTGAGTCAATCTTGAATCCCACAGGATACAACACTATGCTGCGGGCAGAGTTAGCCTGCAATACCGCATTCTAATCACTGCACTACCAGGGCTCTATAAATTTCACATATTAGTCTTAATAAACTATAACCTGCTCATCAAAAAGATTACTTTGAAATAATCCTGTCAGCATAAAAAAACTATCTGAGACATATATTCCATGCTTTTCCCTATGCCCATGTAAACCTACCCATTTGGTCTTGAAAGGCCAGTTTTGATTAACAGTACTTTCATTCTTCAACTAGATTTTTGTTTCTATAAGTTTATTAGTTACTAATAAAATTAAAATACCATGTGATAATTGCCACTTCACAATTTCCAGATGTAGACCATGACCACTTCTATTAGTGAATGAAGGCTAGGTATTTTGGCATTGTTCTGCTCCTAATAGATATTAATGGGCACCAGACTAAACACCAGGAGACGGTGAGGTCTAGTCCCATCTTAGGCATGAAAGACAGCTGGCTGATTTTGGTCCAGATCCTTTCTCAGCCCAACTCACCTCACAGGATATTTGTGTGGGGAAAACAGAAGGAGAAAAAAGTATTAGGGATATTCACCATTAATTACTTGTAAAGTAATAAAGGTGGGATAAAAATCAAATATATCATGCTGAAAGGCAAGGATTTAAGCTTTCAAAAACATCAAACTAGACAAAATCTTTTTTATCCATGTGGCATGTTCCTAATTGGGGGCCTTGCCTTGTGAAAGATCCACGGCCAGTAAGTTTAAGCTAAGCATTCTCATGAAAGAGTACAGAGAAAAGCAACAAAGATGATTAGGGGACTGGAGGCTAAAACATATAAGGAACGGTTGCTAGAATTGGGTGTGTCTAGTTTAATGAAGAGAAGGACGAGGGGGGACATGATAGCAGCCTTCCAATATCTCAGGGGCTGCCACAAAGAAGAGGGAGTCAAGCTATTCTCCAAAGTGCCTGAAGGCAGGACAAGAAGCAACGGATGGAAACTAATCAAGGAGAGAAACAACCTAGAACTAAGGAGAAACTTCCTGATAGTTAGAACAATTAACCAGTGGAACAACCTGCCTCCCAAAGTGGTGAATGCTCCAACACTGGAAGTTTTTAAGAAGAGACTGGACAGCCATTTGTCCGAAATGGTGTAGGGTTTCCTGCCTGAGCAGGGGGTTGGACTCGATGACCTCCAAGGTCCCTCTCCAACTTCATCATCATCATCATCATCATCATCATCATCATCATATTATTATTATTATTATTATTATTAGTAGTAGTAGTAGTAGTAGTAGTAGTAGTAGTAGTATGGATCATCGCACAATCAGCCAGATGTTCAGACTGGATTTGGCATTTTGTCTACCTATCAAGTCCTTACCCAGGACCTGGGATAGGCAGATGTGGATGTTTGATGGTATATCTAGTTTTCACAATAATCTGGGTAAACAGAAACTCATCCATGCACAAAGAGAACCAATTCTCAAGCTTATATAAACTTTTAACAATCTTTACACTACACTGAAATTTATCCTGTCCAAATTCACTTACCCCAAGTAGCCACTGCTGAGATCCTCCTGAGCCGTGGCATTTCATAAGGCGTGGTGGATCGGATGTGCGTGTTTCAGATACATCCAAACACAGGAGGTTATTTAAGATTAATTCGTGATCCTCATTATACATCCATATCTATGAAATTACAAATATTTTAGGATCACTAGGATAATTTAATCACGAAGCTGAGAAAACTATATACGCTTCTCTTTCATGGTGACAATAAATTCACCACATTTTCATCTCACGCTTGTTTCTTACCCAAGAAGCTTCTTCAGCTCCGCCATTCCCTACCAACCAGTCAGAAGTGAAGAAGCTTCTTGAACGAGAAGCAAATGTCTTCAAAGAAGACAAGAAAGTCGACTTGCCTTATGAAAAAAGCATCTTTGGGACATCTGAAAGGCAACTAATAAAACAATCTGGAAACATGATACCATGCAGAACAATTTTAACCAAGGCATCTCTCCATATTTAATAAACAGTGGCTGATTTCTAAAACTATTGAAAAGATTTCAGAAAAAAATGAATTAATGTTATTTATTTCCTCGCTTGCCATAGAGTAGTTCAGTTTAGGCATAAATGTAAATCAATCTATAGATTATGATTTTTTTAATTCGTCTTCCAGTAATGTCAACTAATTTGTAAGTGTCTATGGAGATTCTCAGTCATCCAGGTCATGGTTGTCCCAAAGGTGCTTTTTCAAAAGGCAACTGGACTTCCTTTTCCTTGAAGATGTTTCGCTTCTCATCCAAGAAGCTTCTTCAGTTCTGACTGGATGGTGGGGGATGGAAGGATGGATATGCCTTGCGGTCATCTAGTAGTTAGCCCTCTTTCTGAAAGTCATTGAGGCCACTTGGAGATTCATCTGTGCCTTCAGTGTCATCTGAATAGTTCAGATGGGTGTGGAACCTTCTTGGAACTGCTGTTGTAAACAACCACTTCATAAATGCATTGCACAACATAGAACAAACCCATCAGGACATACCATATATGCCGGCGTATAAGACGACTTCCGGAAGCGCTAAACTCGGCGCCAAAGACGGGGGTCGTCTTATATGCCGAGTCGTCTTAAACGCCGGAAATACTGGTAGTTTCCGGCGTATAAGATGATGTTCTAGGAATGCGGCTCGGCGACAAAGACGGGGGTCGTCTTATACGCCGGGTCGCCTAATACACCGGCATATACGGTATATTCAGCACTCCAGCTGCATTTGAAAGACAATGGTCACTGTTCTGAAGACAGCAAAGTCCACATTCTGGACAGAGAGGACCCACTGATTTGAAAGAGGGGACAAAGAGGCCATCTACATTAACAGCCCTCTCTCAACAAAAGGGGAGGGATACATTACCCATCAGTCCTTTCGGCTGTTCCAAGAAGGTTCCACCCCCTTTTGCATTATTCAGGTGACCCAGACGGCACAGATAAATTTCCAAATGGCCTCAACAGTCAGAAAGGGGGCTAACAACCAGACCAGACTACAAGGAAGATAAAGCCTTCCATCATCCACCCTTCAATCAGAACTGAAGAAGCTTCTTGAATGAGAAGCGAAAGGAAAAACAAATTCCACTTGCCTTCTGAAAATGCACTTTGGGGACTAGTTTGAAAGTTTGGCTGTAGCAATAAACAGCAATAAACATTTGCACTTAACCAATAGTCCACGGATGAATAGTGAATTACAACCTAAAAACATAATTTCAACACTTGGAAAAAAAAATCAATAGGTCTTATTTACTGTGACTCACCTCTTTTCCCACCAGATTATTTTTAACAGCATAAAAAGCACAGAAAAATTCCCTACCAGCTTCAGCTTCTAATTTCAAAGTGACAAAAGGAGAAGCTATTAGTTGACTAGAAACATTCCTGTCCGTTTTTTTATTATTATTATTATTTTCAAGTTTTAACCATGGTTTGCTAGTTTACTAAGCTGGCACTTTTCTGTAATAAATCTAAATTACAGGTTTTTTTCATACAAAACTGTACTCTAGATGTATTTATTTATTTAGCGTATGGCATGTAATATAGATGGTCGATTTTATCCATGTGTATGTGTGAAGGGGAGGAAGGGGGAGAGACATGGCCTGCATTCAGTGAACAAAGGGGTGAAATCTGCTTAAGCTGCAGATACTTTTCTGAAATTTGCTGAGCTGTGGTAACAGTTAATGCACAAACCCTGGGAAGAGATGTTGTTGTTTTGAGGTATAATTTTCAGAGACATTGCTGATCCAAATAGCAGCAAGTCCTAAGAACTTGACCTAAGAAGGCCCTAAAGTATTCAGAATAATTTTTTCCCACCTGATGCCTCTAGAAAAGCTACAAAATCCAGATTATAACACAAATAGCTCCTAGACCAGGGGTAGGCAACCTTGGCTCTTTTATGACTCGTGGACTTCAACTCCCAGAATTCCTGAGCCAGCATGGCTCAGCTTGGAAACCTCTCCCTTTCCCCTCAGCATGGCTGGCTCAGGAATTCTGGGAGTTGAAGTCCATCAGTCATAAAAGAGCCAAGGTGGCCTACCTCTGGCCTAGGCCTAGGCCGCTTTATGACTGGTGGACTTCAACTCCCAGAATTCCTGAGCCAGCATGGCTCAGCTTAGAAACCTCTCCCTTTCCCCTCAGCATGGCTGGCTCAGGAATTCTGGGAGTTGAAGTCCACGAGTCATAAAAGAGCCAAGGTTGCCTACCTCTGTCCTAGACCAACAGGCTTCTGTTATCTTTTGTTATTGGAGGATTGTGGAATTTACAGCCCAGCATGCCTAGAGACATCCAAGCTGGATAAGGCTTATCCTAGAGCAGGGGTAGGCAACCTCAGCTCTTTTATGACACGTGAACTTCTACTCCCAGAATTCCTGAGCCAGCATGGCTCAGCTTGGAAACCTCTCCCTTTCCCCTCAGTGTGGCTGGGTTAGGAATTGTGGGAGTTGAAGTCCACGAGTCATAAAAGAGCCAAAGCTGCCTACCCCCGTCCTAGAACATTGATATTCAGCATCTAAATTGGTTACCTCAGTCAGAGAACATGCTCTTAGATTGCGGTTCTGCTACCAAATCTTAGGTGCAGCCTTCAATTTAGGAGTAGTTTTAAAGGCAAGATAAAATCAGCTAGTCATCAGCATTTTGAGGTGAATGATGTTCAAATGCAAATTTAAGCTTGTGTGATAAACGTCTGAGTGCCTTTCGCCTACTGGACAAGGCCAAGCTCTGAGCTGTATTTGCAGAGGACGGAGGGGAAGAATGGCTCACTCATAGGATCTCCCTTTCGAGGGAATTCAGGGCTGTTCTGAGCAGGAGTTAGGAGAACTTGAGAGGCTAATCCTGAAAGGCTTAGTCAATGTGGCTCCCGTTTTCTGCGTGGAGACTGCGGTGACCTTCAACCTTCTCCTCAGTAACTACTGGGCAGTTCTAATACAAATCTCATGGTTTTCCTTCACAAACTATTTTTTGTTGACAATTGTTGACAATTGTGAAAGCCACATATATCAACACTTCTTGTCCCAGAACAAAGGGGTAGTAGAAAGGGGGAACCGCTGACTTTTTATCCTCTCTTTTTTATGTTGTTGGGAGAAATTACCACCTAATTAAAGTTAACTTTACATCTAAGAAAATACCAAGTCCTCAAGACATTGTAGTACAGTGGTTCTTAACCTGGGCGATATTGCCCCCCAGGGGGCGATTTCATTTTTCAGGGGGGATGGAACGAAAAGGGGTGATTTGGGCGCGAAGGAACAAAAAGGGAGCGATATGGGGGCGGTGGAGCGAGAAGTTTTGGGGACACTTTTGAGACTTTTTCGTACAGTGAATCGCTGTATATCTGTCGTACAAAAACATCAGATCTCTCGCTATTAGTGGATTGAATTTTGTTTTCAGTGGTCATTACATTTAAGTGTTTTGAATAAATAAGATAATAATGAAATACATGTATCATGAAGTTTGGGAATAAAGTGATGGGTAGCACCAAAATTTTTCACACAGTTGAGATAATGGGAAAAAGACTGGAAATAAATTATTTGCATCAATATGTCCTGATGACAATTTTAAAGAAAACAAAAAAAGTATTTGCATAAATTGAAGAATTATTTCCTATGTTGTGATTGAGAGGTTATGTGGGGGAGGGGGGCCATAACAACTTCCTTATTGGCTCAAGGGGGCGATTCGTTCAAAAAGGTTAAGAACCACTGTTGTAGTAGATGTGCCTGGTATATATCAAGCCTCTTCTAATCGGTAATTCTGAAGCAGAAGTCAAAGTGATAATAAAGATTTGCAAAAGCTGCTAAAGAAAGAATATGCTTATTGAATCTAAGTACAGGTCGTCCTTGATTTATGATTGGTCATTTAGCAGCTACCTGAAGTTAAGACGGACTACGATAAGGTACTTATAATCTGTATAACCACCACCACCCCGGAGTCATGTGATCACATTTCAGGAACTCAACAACCATACCACGTTTATGGCCAATTGCAGCACCCCACAAAAATCAATACAATTTACATTTTTTGCCAGAAACCAGCATTTACTTCTGGTTCCCAGTGAAAATGGCGACTGAAAACAATGGGTTTGTTTAATGACGGTGGCATTCATTTTACAACCCCCATGTTCACTTAACAACCACTGTAAAAAAAGATCAGTCATAGTCATTTGATGAGCCCGTTAATAAAGGGCACAATTTATGACTGGCTCAATTCTGGCTATAAGTCAAGAACCATCGATGGAACCAAAGCTTCCCTCAGGAGTTCAGGGTCTCCACTGTCCTCTCCCCAATGAACTCAACAGCTGGACCTTGGAGGAGGCAGCATCCAATCCAAACACAGAGGAGAATGAACCCCATCCCTTTTGCCACAGCCAGATCACTCAGTTAGGATGGTCAGCAAGGGTAGAAGACCAATCAGAACGGTTCAGCCCAAGTGTGGAGTGGATGCAGCTGGTTTTCAGGATATACTTGAGGAATTCCCAGGAATCTGGCAGGCAGTTCTCACATGCCTCACATGGTTTGAAACATCTCTGGTGAGAATACCATTCCCAGTGGCTTCTCTGGACTCCTGAGGGGTTCCAGAACATATAGGCAACAGAAAAGGCAATGGAGCGATGAGAGTGGGAAGACAAAAAGTGAACACAACTAATCAGAGGAAGGTGCCTGCACTCAGGACGGAACTGCAGCAATAAAACTGAAAGGGAAGCAGATTGTGGATCCACAGCTAGATCCACAGCTATCACTGATCAGCAAATGGGGGTCAGAAACAGACTTTTGCAACAGGCTACACGGATAGTCCTTGACTTACAGCCATTCGTTGTGCAACTGTTCAAAGTTACAACAGCACTGAAAAAACTGGCTTAAACTTCATCTCATACGTGCAATAGTTGCAGCATCTCTAGTCATGTGATAAAAATTTGGGTGCTTGGCACCTGGCATGTCCTCAACTTACAGACCTAATTGGGACAAGAATTTCCATGGCTAAGCAAGGCAGTTGTTAAGTGAGTCCCATCAGATTTTATTACATTTTTTTGCCTTGGTTGTTAAGCAGTTAAGTTAATGTAGACATTAAGGGAATTTGGTTTGCTCTGCTGTCTTTGTTTGTCAGAAGCTGTTTGGGAAAGTTACAAACTGTGATCGCATGAACCCCCTCATCACCACCACTCCCAGAAACAGCGAAGCTGTCATACATACATGACAGTTGCCCAGCGTCTCCATTTTGATTGTATGACCACAGGGATGGTGCAATGGCGGAACAGCCAAAAGTCACTTTTTTCAATGACACTGTAAATCTGCACTAAATAAATGGTTATGTAAGTTGAGGGTCATGTAATCCCAATTTGCGATTTTCCTAGCCAAATTCTTCAAGCAAAATCAATGGGGGAAGTCAGATTCGCTTAATGACTGCATGATGCATTGAACTGTAGTGATTTGTTTAACAACCATGGGAAAAAAATGTCACAAAATTGGGTGCAGCTCTCCCACTAACTGCCCTGCTCAGCAATGGAAATTCTTGTCCCAATTATGGCCGTTAAGTAAAGGGCTACTTGTACTTGGGATCATCTTTAAAAATTGCATGGGCAGGTAAATATGTCAAATATAAAAATTAAATGAACAAATAATTATGGCATGGTATCCTAGGACATATCTTTTGTTTTTTCTACAGTTCTGCTGTGAATGATTAAAGCAGGCAAGCCCAACCCATGGCCTATAGGCCACATGCAGCCCTGGGCAGCAAGTAATGTGGTCCCACAAGATAATAAAAATATTTAAAAAACAAAGAAGGTTGGTATTTATATACATTAACTGTATTATATATTTTATATGCAGCCCAAGACAATTCCCCTTTATTCAATGCAGCCCAAAAGATTGGATAACGGTGGATTAAAGTAACGCAGCCCTCTGGGAAAATAGGAACACTACATGTCAGAGAGATCAAAATCAGCAAAACAATAGAGGGCTGAGGGAACTTGCCTGATTTTTATCACTGTAGTCACATTCTTTGACCACCACAAGTCCTCCTTTTTGACTGGGGTTGCTTTGCGCCACCAGACATTTATTAGTTTGAAGGTGATACAACTGCAAGGAAAAGAAACACAAACACACTGAGAAGAGAACATACGATGTGAACAGAGGTCAAATTCTCAACCACCCTTCCTTAGATTCCTATTATATTCTCTAAGAACAAAAGAGTGAGTAACTAACTACAAGGAAGGAGTAGGGATTTTTCAAAAATAAATTATCATCCAACATTTTCAGCTTTATTTCACTGTGATATATCACTGTGAAGTATTTGTATCATTCTATCATTTATATTTGCCACTATCCTGCTGTGCCAAGAATCAACTTGGTAAAAATTATACAAGATATGCAGGGATATATCTCCCTAAAAGCTATCCAACCACCTTGTGTGGCTACAACTGCATAACTTTCACCATGAAAAACATTACTTCTAGAAGTGGAGACAGTGTAACTTACGAGAAATATTACTATTGGGTGGCTTCAAAACTAACTGGCACAATGACATTTTTTAAAAAATTAAGTACTAGAAGCCAATTTCTATAGAAGGACTTTATAGTGAAAGTATAGCGGTCATAGTGCAGCACAGATAGGATTAAATTTAACACAACCACATAACAAATCATCAGTAGTATTAAGAAGGGAGATGGGATGAAATGGTTAATTATACACAAGCTACACAATCCCAAAGGATTGTTTGGATGCAGGGATGGATAATCAGCAGCACACAGACATCTGTTGACAAAAAAAGTACAAACATATATGGGGACTTGATACAAACATCATTTTTATAGGGCTAAGTACCCAAAACTGATTCTGATACAGTACAACTTGTTTACGAAAAAGTAAAACCGAAACTCCATTTTTATTATTTATCCAACTCTTGCATTCAGCATTTTCTTCCATCATTTCAAATATTGAAGTTAATCAACAGGTGGATTCCTTTTCTGAGGAACAACATTACCTGATCTGAATCAACTTAGACCAGAGGTCCCCAACCTTTTGGGCACCAGGGACCGGTTCTATGGAGAAAGGATTTTCCACGAACCGGGGAGTGCATGGTTTCGTGTGTTGCCTGCATCCCACGGATGGGGCATTGCTTGTTTGTGCGGACCAGTTCCTGGCATGCCGTGGCCCAATGCCGGTCCACGGACCGGGGGTTGGGGACCCCTAATATACTACAAGTAGTCCTCAGCTTACAACCATTTCTTTAGTGCCCATTCAAAATTATGGCACTGAAAAAAGTGACTGAGAATCATTCCAATAACCCGGCCACGTGATTGGCATGTATTTATGACAGTTGCAGTGTCCCAGGGTCATGTGATCCATCTTTTGTGACCTGACAAGCAAAATCAAATATGAAGCTAAGCTCATTTAGCAACCGTGTTACGAACTCAGCTGCATTTATTCACTTAACTGTGGCAAGAAGGATCGTAAAATAGGGCAAAACTCACTTAACAACAGAAATTTAGGGCTCAATTGTGGTCAAGGACTACTGTATATGCTTGGAGATTTCTTCCTCAACAGCACGTCTGCTTTTCCACCTCAGTGTAGCAAGAACACAAAATGATTTAATGATGTCTTCTTAGCCTAAAGCCATTTTAAAGACTTTGCTAATGAGGCCAAAAAATTGTCTTACACAGTCTATGAAACAGGAATTATTATACATAAAAATCTGATTTTTATGCTAAACATGAATTAGCCATCCAATTTATTTTATGAACAGTAGATTCAAAACTAAGGAAAAACAATCCTCTTTCAAAGTTTCTTGCTTTCCCAAAAACATAAGGAACTCAATTAGAGATAACCATGAGCAGTCACAGGGAATTTGATTTCCTTCCCTTTTTTCCCTTGTCCAGAAAAAAAGGCCACTTTGATTCAAATTCAGCCTAAATAAGGAAACAGAAAAAAACCCTTTGTGTTCCAACTCATCCATCAGCGAGAGGACTAAGGGATTCAATGCGCCATGCAGGATAAGAAAAGAGCCTTGTTAGCTAATGGTAGTCAAAAACTAAAGTCTGGTGGCGCGAACAAATTTTATTTATAATCAAGTGCTTGGTGGTTAAAATGTTTTTCCTATAATTTTGTCCTTCATTCAGAGGTCAAACTTGTGTGCAGGATTCTTATTTACAGGTACAGTTACAATTATTCTGTGGAGGTTGAGAACTGCAGAATTCACATGCACAAAAGATTTCAGGCTATCTGAAAAGGTCTTAACCAACTAGAGTCTGTAACATGTTAGTTACTAACTGATGGGGTACCTCTTGCACATACAACCTGCTACCTCCCCAACCACTATTGCTTCATCCCAATATAAATCCTACTTCAGCTTAACCTTTTTGTGCCTCTGATGAACAGAACCACAGTTCAAAAGAGGTTATGTCTTACAATAACATTTGCTAGTCTGAAAAAGGGCTACTCTTTTCTGTTTGCATAATTTTTGTTTGCTTGATTTCTATTAGCTGGTATTTAGAAAACACTTTTAGATTCTTTTACCTGAAAGACTTGGCACGTTAATAATATAGAATTCCCTACAAGATGACAGCCATTAGCTTGACTGATTTAAAATGGATACTTAATAAGCTTAGGGAGGGCAGGCATAGGACTGCTAGGATAGCTGCATAAATACAACTATTGTATTTTGAAACTCTGCTTCTAAATATGAATGGATAGTAGACAAGAAAACAGGAAGGGCTATAATTTTCAGAAATCCACAAATGGGCATTTTAAAAATAAGATGGAGGCTCCTGGACTTCATAATATACTCTGCCTAGAATTTAGATTAAAAAATCATCTCTTTTAGAGCCCAGATGTTGCTAGAAATAAACCACTTTGATTTCTGTTGATTTCTACATAGCTCCTTTATGTGTGTGTGTATGCATGTGTGCGCGCGCGCGCTGTGAAAACCAGATTTAAAAAAAAATATCACCATTGACCATCCAGTTATGATGTAGGGCAGGGGTCTTCATATTTGGCCCTTTTATGACTTGTGGACTTCAATTCCCAGAATTCCTCAGCAGTTGAAGTCCACAAGTCATAAAAGGCCAAGTTTGAAGACCCCTGATGTTAAAAAAAAGGAAGAGGAAGAAGGAGTATTGTGAATGTTCCCCCCCCCCCGAGTCATTTATAAAGGTGGGATAAAAATCAAATGAATCGATAAATGTCTTCTGTTATCAGTGTTTAATGGAGATTATTTGTTAAAGGATCTTGTTGCAACTTCTGTTAAACATGTGTCACATGACTGTGTTCAATCAATGAGTGAGAAGTGTACATTCTCTCTCTCTCTTTCTCTCTCTCTGTGTGTGTGTGTGTGTGTCTGTGTGTGTGTGTATTGTATACGCAGAAATTATAAGGAAGTCTTCATTATCTCCTTGGAATAAAGTTGAGATCTAAATCAAATAAACACAAAAGAAAGTAGTTATTAAAATAAATACATGGGCCTAATTTTAATGGAATAAGGTCAGAAAATTCTCTATGTCAGCAATATCATTGGGCTGATGTTACAGGTAGTCATCCACTTACGACTGGTCGTTTAGCAACCATTCAAAGTTATGACAGACCTACTAGGGTCTATTTACAACCTGGATTCAAAGCGTGCCTGGCTGAGGAATTCTGGGAATTGAAGTCCACAAGTCATAAAAGGGCCAAGTTTGAAGACCCCTGATGTAGGACTTCTCCCTTGCTGTTTTTAGTACAAGCTATAGAAGACATTCAGAAAGATTAAATACTATTTGCCCAAACAGAAACTAAATTACACAACAGACATCTTTATTCCAATTACTGTGGTGTATTACTTATTTCAGAGCTAAATTGCTGCACTGTTCTAATATACTTCCTTTCTCTTCAAATGCCACTTTTAAATGTCCACATTTTTAAGAGCTTGGATTTAAGCAAATCTGAAGAACAGCATCTTACCCTTCCTTGTTGCAGTAATTTTGGTCTTTTCTGTCCTTTATTGAAAAAGATTGGAGGCTGTACCTTGGCATTGGGCCCAGAGATCTGCATCTCTGGATACACATTGTCTAAATACCATTTAAATGATTTGCAGTTTAATTTTTTTCTTAATTCCACACGGTCAGTAATATTTCCATAGTTCCTTGTTCGTAGCTCTGGACGTAAGGCAAAATATTGTTCCTGTTTGAAAAGGATTAAAAATCGCAAAGAGAGGAATTATTATTCCTGTTATGTGAAACTAAGGTCTAAGGACAGGTAGTCCTCACTGAACACTGTTGCTCAGTAAGTGGTTGTAAAGTTTGATGTCATGTGACCGCAGCAACTTACGCGGCAATTCAGTTTAAGCGAATCCTGCATGGTCTCTGGTGTTATGTGCTTGCCCTTTGCAACCTCTTGTATCTTTTCACTGACTTTGTTTGTCAGAAGCCAGCAGTGAAGGTTGCAGAGGCTTATTGTGTGACTGCTGGACGTTGCAAATACTTAGGGACTGGAGGCTAAAGCATATAAGGAAAGGTTGATGCAATTGGGTATGTCTAGTTTAACGAAGAGAAGAACGAGGGGGGACATGATAGCAGTGTTCTGATATCTAAGGGGGCTGCCACAAAGAAGAGGGAGTCAAGCTGTTCTCCAAAGTGCCTGAAGGCAGGACAAGAAGCAACGGAGGGAAACTAATCAAGGAGAGAAACAACCTAGAACTAAGGAGAAACTTCCTGACAGTTAGAACAATTAACCAGTGGAACAGCCTGCCCCCCAAAGCGGTGAATGCTCCAACACTGGAAGTTTTTAAGAAGAAACTGGATAGCCATTTGTCCAAAATGATATAGGGTTTCCTGCCTGAGCAGGGGGTTGGACTAGATGACCTCCAAGGTCCCTTCCAATTCTATTATTATTATTATTACTATAACAGCAAACTGATGGCCAAGCACCTGAATCGTGATTCTATGATTGTGGGGAGGCTACAGGGGCCACAAATAAGAGGATCAGTTTTAAGTCTCCTCATTCAGCCCTGTTGTAACTTCAAACAGTTGCTGAATGAGTGGTCATTAAATGAGGACTACCGGTTAACAATAGCATTAGTGTGTGAGGGGGAGGGGGACAGGGACGACCGACTTCTCTGAGCTATACATTCAAATTCTTCCCCAGCTAAAAATTACAAAATTAAGCTTTATATTGTGTTTCCAACATTATGCCTCTGTGCCCTTCCCATGTGACATGTATCCAAATTTCCAGACAGTCTAATAATCAAAAGCACAAATATCCTGGAAATGGAAGATACAACATTGCTTATTTCCTCCAACAGCATAACATCAACAAATTTTTCAGGAAGGTGGGAACTATTTCTGCATTCTTCTTTTGCCCCCTTCACAGGCGCACTGAGATATATTCCCCCCCCCCACATCACCCAGTAATATATAGTTGTGGCAGCCTTGCCTTGTATTCATCCATCCACACATGTGCGAGGCGTAGAGAATTGTGTGCCATTGTGTCCTGCCCGCCTGGAGACCCATAAGGGCGCCTTTTGCGAAAGATGTGCCCAACTCTGGAGCAAGGGATGATGACAAGTTTGCCTCCACACATCCAAATCTGTTCAGAAATAAAATGACTTAGTAAAATGTTTTTATTGAAGGCAGGTGATATTAGACACAAAACCTAGTTTCTAAAAAGGTCTGCTTATTTGCATTAACTGTACACCTGGACCTTATTAATAGCTGAATGATCTCATTCAGGATGACAACTGTCTTAAAAGCTTAATGTTCAGCCTCAAACTCCTCCAATAACACAGAATGAAAGCAAGGTGTTTTTGAGCACTCTTATACAGACAGTCCTCGACTTACAACATTTGTAGCATCCCCTTGATCATGTGCTCTAAATTTGGGCACTTGACAACTGGTTCATTATTTATAACCGTTGCTGTGTCGTGTGATCATGACTTTTTGCAACCTTCTGACAAACGAAGTCAATGGGAAAGCCACAGTCACTTACCAACCGGGTTACTAACTTATGAAATGCAGTGAGGCAAAAAAAAAGGTTGTAAAATGGGGCAAAAGTCACTTAACAAACATCTCACTTAACAACAGAAATCTTGGGCTCAATTGTGGTCATAAGTCAAGGACTACTTGTATTGTTAAAGCCCTCTATGGCATGGGTCCAAGATGTCTCAGGAGCCGTCTTTCTCCAATTGGGTTAGCCTGCCCCACTCGTGCTGGCAGAAGGGCCCTACTGTGAACCCCATCAGCCAAGGAACATCTTACTAAAGGGGGTAAGATCTGCCCCCCCCCTTTAGCCTTCAGGAAAAGCCTTAAAACCTGGTTATGCCAGCTGGCATGACGCCTCACAAGAGAAGCTATTGGCTGGAGGTGGTTTGTGCACTAAGAGAGAGAAGGCAACACCGCCGCCCTGCGTCGTTCCCATGGTTTTCAGCTTCTTTTAAACTTTTGTAATTTTAATCTCTTTTTATATTTATAATTGTTTTTATATCTGTATGTTTTATTACGTTGTGAGCGGTTCAGAGACACCTCAAACCATCAGTTGGGCGGCATATAAATTTAATAAATAAATAAATCCCACAATAAATTACCAAGAGGACAGGTGGATCTCTTTTTAGAGTAGCACGTTCTCCCAACATTTGCTTATTTCCCACTAATTGATTTTATTTAAGAATAGGCTTTATATAACGATTTTACAAATTATTTTTCAGCTCAATTTCACTGGGTAACATAATCCACAATATGTCTGGGAACACGGCAAGCAATCAAAGTTTTCTGAATTCATCATCCAATTGTTTTCACTCCACAAATATGTTAAATATCTAAATTCAAGCCCTGTCTTTTTGTAACAAAACCCCCACAAACTATATGTCTCCCAGTTCTTTATAACCGTTATATATAACTGTTTTAAATATAAGATATATTTATATCTTATCTTATATGCAGTATACATAAAACAGATGGTAGCTAGTTAGATAACTAAATAGCAAGATAGCAAGAGACAGGGGGGTTATCGCTTATAACAGTTCTTCCTGCTTTGAGCTAAACAATTTCAATTACAATAATTTCACGTATGCTAGACAAATTTTTTGCTATGTTTACTTCATATAAAGTAATCTCAGAGAAACTACTACTCTAGAATTAGGAGGGCATAAATGCCCTTTTTGGAGGGCATTTTTTTTGGGGGGGAAGCTAATTTCATCTTGTCAGAATCCTTTCTATTTAAAATAAGCAAGTTCACATTGCTGTTGTCTTCAAAGCTGCAGAAAGTGACCACCCAACAATAATGTGCAAACACCTCCTGATTCTGAAGTGGCCTGAATCAACCTTCCAAGAACGAAAAAGAATGCCCACTAGTAAATCACAAAACGAACATACCCGAAATGATATTTCCAGATTTTCCCCTCCCCAGATGTCCATGCCACTGTCATACTGTCCAAGTGCATTGAAATATTCTCTGTCCATCGCAAACAAGCCTCCTGCCATTGTGGGAGACCTAAGATGAAAATGAAATCTTTATCAAAGGCAAGCCCTGACAGAAGTGGAAGTAACGAAGGGGAAACACAGACCTACAAGAATTGGAAGGCAATATTGGAAGAAAAACTCAATGCCTACTTTGGAAGAATGGATACTTAAGGTGTCTAATTTAGCAGAAATGGCGAAAATCTCTGCCTACTTGAAGGACCATTCACAAGAAAGATACATTATGGTTTGGAGAAGATGGACTGATTATATTCAAAAGAAATATGAAACTGAAAAGTACTACCTTGCTTTTGAGTAGATTTTAGATAATTATTAATAGTTTTAATTATATTATTATTTTTGTTTTAATTAGTTAATATTTGATTTGAGGAGTTAAAGTGTGTTATGGTTTTGATTGATAGTATAGTTGGTTTATGTTAATTAGATTATGTTTGTTTATTTGTTACCTTGTAATCAGCTCTGGAAAGTGGTGGAGGGAGGGAAGGGTTGAGGGGTGGGCGGGTTATATTGTAATAAACTTGTAAAACTTTTAATAATAATAATAAAGAATTGGAAGGGAAGATATTTAAATCTAACCAAGTAAGAAAAGCAGCGTTCTCCCATACTTTGCCTGCACTCCCAATTGGACCTGAACATTTAATGGCCCCTGGACATCCAGCCCTTTGGTTGTGCCTGTCCAGCCCATTTGAGACCAATAGGGAATTAAAAATGAAATGTAAATAAGCATGCAGCAGGGGACAGGAGAAGAAACCAAGTCGGGTCTGGCTCTGCGCAGCCACCGTGTGTGCTCCTTCAGATGGCCAACGGTCGTGGGAGGGCATGGAAAGACACTTTCTGCCTCTGCACAGCACTTGCCCCTTGCCTGGAGCAGCCTGAGGAGGTAGTTGTGTTCATTGTATGAAGGGGTCAGGCTCAGCCATCCAGGGTGAACTTAGTCAAGCACGGCTTTGCAGATGAATGGATAGAGCGCAGCCAGGAGCCATTGATTTGGCCCTCTAAGACAGTCCCATTCTCATGTGGGAAAATCCCCCCCCCCCGCTTCTAAATGCTACCTCTAGGATGGCAACAGAGATCAAGGTCTTGTTGCCCTATAAACCTAACAGGTGAAATGAAAGGAGCAGTTGATTGTAATCAAATCAAGAGAGAACAAAGTTTATCGTAACTATTATTTACTGAACAAGACCGTTCTTTAACACGTTAAGGGATTATTCCAGAGCTCTGGCTTCAACTCTTTAGTTAAACTGAAACAGTTTCCCTAAGAATGTACTATAAGTCAGGGGTGTCAAACTCAATTTCATTGAGGGCCGCATCAGCATTGCAGTTGCCCTCAGGGAGCTGCGTGGGTGTGGCCAAGGTAGATGTGGCCTACTGGGTGGGCATGGAGTAGGTGTGGCCTACTGGGTGGGTGTGGCCAGCTCTACATCATTCGCGTCCAGGGTGCCTGTGGGGGCCCGGGCAGGAGTGGGACAGATCTGAGGGTCTTTGGCAGAAGGGGGTGGGACCAGGGCAAGTGCCAAGGCATGGTCCACTGGAAGAGCCTCACTGTTCCTCTCAGGCCATGCGGGGGGTGGGGGGCTTATGGAGCTAAGACTGAATGCGTTTCAGCATAGATGGCCACCACAAAATTGTACATTGGCTCCTGGCCGGCCTGAGCCAGGGCCAAGGCAGTGGGGGCCGTTTCCTCACTGTTTCCAGGATAGCTTCGCGGGCCACATGAAACCACTTCACAGGCCGCATCCGGCCCCAGGCTTGTGTTTGACATGTCTGCTATAAGTGGATATTAATAATGAATATGTATTTATGAATAAATATTGAATGTACTGGCTTTGTCTTCCCTCCAGACTCCATTTTAAAATTCCATATAGGATTAAATGTCTCCAGTTTGGCATGACACAGTTACGGTATTTTTAATCTAACCCCTTTGGTTGAAGGAAGCCCTAAAACCCCTTTTCAGGTTTTAAGTGAAGCCGTTCACCCCTTTAGAGGGCGGCGTTTGAAACCGGGATGTCTCACTTGATGGGAGCAGTGGCTTGTTCGGGTCCTTCCATCTCCAACAAAGGAACGAGATCCCACTTAAAGTGAAGGCCCCAGTTGAACCCTCCGCGGACAACGGGAGAAGAGCTGTAAGTCAGGGTGTCTGCGCTGATGATATCAATCACGGGACACACAACTGTCCTGCGGGATTCCTGGATGGGTGTCAGCAAGGGCTGCAACCACATCTCATTCACTTCACAATGGCTGTCCAGAAACACAAGCACTTTTCCTGAGAAAGTGAAAGCAGAAGAGACATAGGAGATACAGAATAACAGAATAACAAAAGTTGGAAGGGACCTTGGAGGTCTTCTAGTCCAACTCCACCCCAAGCAGGAGACCCTATACCAGGGGTAGACCACCTTGGCTCTTTTATGACTCGTGGACTTCAACTCCCAGAATTCCTGAGCCAGCATGGCTCAGCTTGGAAACCTCTCCCTTTCCCCTCAGCATGGCTGGCTCAGAAATTCTGGGAGTTAAAGTCCACGAGTCATAAAAGGGCCAAGGTTGCCTACCCCTGAGCTATGCCATTCCAGACAAGTGGTTGTCCAATCTCTTCTTAAAAAATTCCAATGTTGGAGCACCCACTACTTCTGGAGGCAAGTCGTTCCGCTGAATTGTTCTGATAGGGACTTCCTCCTTAGTTCTAGGTTATCTCTCTCCTTGATGAGTTTCCATCCTTGCTTCTTGTTCAACAAGAGACAAGAAGACAAGAGACTAACCCAAAGCTCTCCTAAGAACACCATTATCTCAAGAATCTTCATTTACATTATGACATTTATAACCTGCACGTTTCAGTGTAAGAGAAATTGGGAATTAACACAGAGAGTAACTAACAGGAAAAGGAACAGCGGGAGGAAAAAAACCCCTCAAAATTAATGGGAAATTTAACTGGAAAGTATTGAGTGAACTTGTTTTGTTTTTCAAAGGTAGAAAAGCATACACAAGAGATCTTGTGGGTATGGTTCCAGAATACTGCAATAAAGTGAGGTTGGGGTTTCCCAGTGCATATAAAAGTTGTATTTATATTATACTATAGTTTATTGTGTGCAATATCATTATGTCTAAAATAAGGTACATAGCTTAATTAAAAAATACTTTATTGCTAAAAACTAAATTTGAGCTTCAGTAGTCTTTTTGTTGATGGAGGTCTTATAAAAAATGCATTATCAGTGAGTCCAATACAACAAGGTATGCCTGTGTTTCTAAATATTTTACTTTTTGTGGAAATTATTAGATCCAAACTAACATCACTGCTGTGATTTCAACATACAGTATTTAAATGACGGCCGCAGTGCCCCAGGGTCATAGGATCCCCTTTTGTGACCTTCTGAGAAGCCAAGCCAATGGGGAAACAAGATTCACTTAAGAACAATGCTGCTGACTTAACAACTGAAGTGATTCACTTAACAACTGTGGCAAGAAAGGTCATAATATGGGGCAAAAATCTCTTATGTGTTTCAACTAGCCACAGAAATTTTGGGCTCAATTGTGGTTCTAAATCAAGGACTACCTGTATGATATTTCTACAGGTTTATGTAAACAACCATCAATTTACTGCATTGATAAACCTCACTATTCTCAATAATTCAATTTAGGAAGGGCTGAAATACATACCACAAGGATATAACACTACTCCTTAAAGCCACAAGGTTGGTGCATTGTCTGCATTAGTGCTGGATGTTACCTGTAGCATGGGAAGCTCCAACCATTCTCCCTCGAATTAGCCCTTCGCGATTTTCATTTCTTACTAGTTTCACCTTATTTGGAAGATCTTTTGTTAAATATATGTCCAAGTCTTCTTTTAAATCAGCTACAACAGGAGAAGGAAAGGTTTTTAAAAAATATTTTAGTCATCCTAAACCTTTCCAGCTACTTCTCACATTTCTTCTATTTTAAAAGGCTGGCAAAACAAACTTGAAACGAAACCCAACAGCTGTGGCAATTGTTAAGTGTTCTTCCTTGTGGAAGGAAATGGGATCGCCGACTAATCCTAGTGACACGTCTCTTCTCTAATAAAGACTGGAATTTAGAAGGGTATGTCGGTATCCAGGGCATAATTAGAAATGCAAGGGAACAGAGAATCAATCAGACTACCATTTAATGGACAGAATTCCATTTCTGGAAGCAGCTTGTGTCACCCATGCTGTGTGTATCCTTAAGGCCTTCTCTGCAAAAGAATTCTCTAGTATAGGGTGGTGTGCAAAACATTTGAGACATTTTGCACTTGAAAAGCTGTGTCAAGTTTGAAATGCTCTGTTCATAATGGAACAGCTGCCGTGAACGTTCCACAAGTGTTTTGAACTTAAAATGCTTCTCTTGTGTGTTCAATACACCTGTTTCAAAGAGATCTACTGGGCTCAAAATACTTCCATAATAGCTGGAACCCTGTCAAAATGTTTCCAATAATGCTGGAACAACCTGTTTCAAATACCAAATCACTGCTCAAAATTTGAAATACTTAATAGTATTGTTCTCATGGTACTTATTCCAGAGAGCTGAGATTGAGGCAATAAAACCTACAGCAGAATCATATTTTAATCCAATTGGTCCTAGAGCTGAATTGGCAATCTTCTTGTGCATAGAGGTCATGCCATATACACCAAGAATGGTGAAGCCATCATCAAAATGACTATCTAAGGAGGTGGATAGCCCTCTGTTTTGTGGGTTGGGAAAATATATTTCTTTTTGGGACCACACTCAGATGATGTGGGCCACAAACCAAAAACCCCTACCCCAAAATCTAAGAATCTCTTACCTAATTCACTTCTATCATCCACCAAAATAATTTCATGGAGAAGATGCGATGGTGTTCGATCCAGAACACTATGAACGGTCCGAAGCAAGGCAGAGAAAGCTTCATTATAGAAGCAAATTATAATACTAGCAGAGGGCAGGTCATGAGGATATATTTTTTCTTTGCACCTGGAGAAGGAAAAAGGCCTATATTATCGTATTATTTTCACTTCACTTTCCCTATCCGCCATAAAGTCATTTGGCTCTTGGAACAAAATGTTTAATTTTTGATGAATCTAGGACAGCTTACTTTCTGTCCCTCGTATCTGGCACGTCTCTGTGATATCCCAATCGGTTGCTGATGAGCACATTGAAAGCATGCTTCTGATAGCCCAAATCTCTCACTTCCTGATCCTGTTCATTGAAAATCATACCTGAAACAGAGGAGCCACTGATTCTGTTAATATACTGCCAATAATCATTTTCTAAAATATCCCCTTAATCTCAAAAATTCCACTAAGGATGTTTCCCCAAACAAGCTACTCTTCCTACAATGGTTTTGGTAATCTGTCTTGAAACTCAAGAAAATCGGCAGGTAAAATATGTAAACACACAGAGGTCATCATAAATTCCTGGCATGAGCAATCATGCTATAATATCTGTAACAATATTATGATATTGTAGCTCTATTTTTCACTCTTTGCATTAAAAGCCGTAATGTGTCTGTCTTTAATTTGGTCTGGCTTAATGCGAAGTGTGAACCCTACCACTTATATATCATTGGATTGATTGATTGCCCATCTTCATTATTTTTACAAATGACTCGTGACTGCAAACATATCCAACACACCTTCCTCCTCCTATTGTCCTCACAACCAGAACCCCATGAGGTGAGTTAGCTGAGAAAGAGGGACTGGCCCAAGGTCACCCTACTGGCTTTCATGGCTATGGCAAAACTTGAACTCACCGTCTCTTGCTTTCTAGCCTGGTGCCTTAATTAGATCAAACTGGCTCTCGTGCCAATGTGTTAAAATGGCTGCTAATTCATCAAATTAGCTTAAACCAAATTCTTCCTCTTACAATATCTGAATCCATAGGAACCATTTAGCCCAGACATGTCAAACACAAGGCTCGGGGGCCGGATGCGACCCACAAAGTGGTTTCATGTGGCCCGCAAAGCCATCCTGAAAACAGTGAGGGAACAGCCCCCTCTGCCTGGGCCCTGGCCCAGGCCAGCTGGGACCAAATGGACAGAATTCAGTCTTAGTTCCATAAGCCCCACCCCCCTGCATGGCCTGAGAAGAATAGTGAGGCTCTTCCGGTGGACTATGCCTTGGCACTTGCCCTGGTCCAATCCCCTCCTGCCAGAGACCGTCAGATCTACCCCACTCCTGCCCAGGCCCCCACAGGCACCCTTGACGCGAACGATGTAGAGCTGGCCATGCCCACCCAGTAGGGCACACCCACTCCATCCACGTCCACCCAATAGGACGCACCTAACTTGGCCACACCCACCCGGCCCCAAGGGCAACCGCAATGCTGATGCGGCCGTCAATGAAATTGAGTTTGACACCCCTGATTTAGGCAGTCAACATCTCTCCAATGGCCTCTGTCAGGCTTTCAAACTATTCAAAACTCAACTGCCTGGTCTTCCCCCATATGGAAATAACATGTAGTTATTTAGCGTTCTATCCCTCCAACGTACCCATTTCAGGGGAAAACTCTGCATCGCTCTTGAGGAGATCCTGAGCAGCATTTCCTAAGGGATTCCTGATCTTGCCATATCTGGGCTTAGATTCCTGCATTTGTCCTGGTCCATTCACAAGCTGGGGATGGAATCTTCTGGAGAAGGGCTTCTGGGGTTCAAGCCCCTTGATGGGCACATTTTTAAAAGACTGGGTCTCTTCGCTGAAATTAAAATAAACAAACAGCAGAACTGTCCAGGTTACGGACGTAAAGAGACAGCCATAGCAAAAATAGCGAAGTGTGACACTTCCCATTGTAATCCTAGCATTGTTGTTGGCACATTTTCAATCCCCTAGAAGAAAATCGAAAGGAACAAAAAGTAAGTACAGAGATTCTTTACTATTGTATATTAACAGTTGGCCTTTCTGAGACAATTCCAGATTAATTTTACATTATAATTACCTCAAAGTGAGGCTGCATTTTCTTTTCACATAAATGTAACCAAAAAACCCCAGCAGCAAACATTGTAAATTATATAATATCTTTAAAATCTATAACACTAATATGGCACTAAGGGAGGCATTTAATATGATCTAGAGTTAAGTAGAATTCTATAAAGATTACATTTTCAATTTATCAAGTATGTAAATATCTCCATTTGGTCTCGTAGACTCATGATGTTTCCCTGCAAATTGCAGGATGTAAATTAAAAGATTAGGAATTCTCATATTTTATCAAAAGCTCTCATCTAATTTTTTCCCCCATTTTTCAACTCCAAGACTGTGCTGGACTATAATTCGCCGTATTTTTAAATGATTGATTACTGGAAGTTTAATTCATAATATATTAAAAACCAATATAACTAGAAGGTTTAAAGATTTACTGCTTGAAGTATTTGTCACTTAGGTCAAGTAACAACTAATTTTTAACAGAAAAGATATTTTTAGCAAAAGCTTAAAACCAACAGTGTTAGTTCTATCTTCTCCTTTATAAAAACCTGAGATACACATAGTGTGTATTATGAGATTCTAATATAGGAATAAGTCCTCAAAATACAGTAGGAGAATACTGTAGGTGGGGAAAAGGGGTCTCAAAAATCAGATTAAACTTGAGTGAAATCTATATAATCTATAGAGTGGTTAAAACTGCAAACAAAAATTTTCTAAACTCTTGACATAATTTATATTCAATGTCCTCTTTCTTACCGGTTTATAGATCTCTACTAACATTAGCAATTATATACATGTGAGTTATTCTTTTGAAATTCACAATACTTTCTCTCTCAAACTCAAAGCACACAATCAGTATTCATTTTACATTAAAAGTTTCTATAACTAGTCCTGCATCAAACACAACAAACCCACAGGGGGAATATTTAAATACACAAAAATAGCCTCTTTGAATCAGTCATATGACCCAGTTCTTGAATAATACCTTTGCCTATATAAAATCCCTGAATACTTCAAAGATTATTATGCATTTTCCTAATCTTAAATATCTGTGATTCATGTAAAATGAACTCAATGGTCTTGTAACATAGGACAGGGAGAAGAGAACTTATGAAGCATTTCTCTGCAGGATCTGGAACATTCTAAAAAATATTGGAAAAAATAGTTCTCAGCTGGTATAACTCTTTGCTCCTATTCACCGAAGCACCGATCTTTTATTCAGCGTTCCATGTTAGTCTTAAAAAATGTAGCTCTTTAAAGTTTCAAAAATTAATGCAACTCCTAAATCAAAGTCAATGGGGTGGCGAGGTGGCGCAGCAGTTAGAGTGCAGTACTGCAGGCCACTTTAGCTGACTGTGTTCAGCAGGTCAGCGGTTCAAATCTCACCGGCTCAAGGTTGACTCAGCCTTCCATCCTTCCGGGGTAGGTAAAATGAGGACCCAGATTGTTGGGGGCAATGTAAATATATATATATATACATTGTTTACTGGTGTACACCGCTTAGAGAGTGCTTGCACTTAAAGCGGTATATAAGTCAAATAAATAAATAAATGGGGAAATCATAATCAGTCACATGATGTTGTGCCTAATAACTATGGATGTGTCACTTATTGAGTGCAGTTGGAACCAATGTAGTAAGCTGGTGCTAACACAAGACAATTCACGTGTTGTTTAGCACAGGTAGTCTTCACGCACCACAGCTGGCCACAACTCTGTTGCTAAGCTTTTGCAGGTAGTCTTCAACTTTTATAACCACAATAGAGATCAGAATTTTCATTGTTACGTTCTTAAGTCAGTCGCATTCAATTTTACAATGCAGTCAAGCACCACCTATTTATGTTCTGGAGTATTTCTTCCAAATCAATTTTAAAATGTGCACAACTATATTTGTGGTGCCCTACTGTTCTAAAACTTTAACAATCTCTGTGTGAGAAGGCATAAACTTTAATATTGTTTGGAGCGAGCTAGAAAAGTCATTTACAGCAGAGTAATCATCAATTAATGGATGGTGAAATTTCTCAAAATTGTAAGAATCCCCATTTAATCTGATCCATAAAAAAGGCTTATATTATTCCTTCATACAGAAGAAACCCTGATTATCTGCATGTTTGGCAAAATCCTTAGTTGCAGAGGAAGTACCTGGACCATTTGACTTATTAATAAGTTCAAATTCCCAATGAGGTCCCACATTTTCAAAATGCTATGTAGCTAGATTTCTTCTCTCACATATCTTAATCTTACCCCTCTTTTATAAACAAGATGTCTCATGGTTCGCATTCCTCAAATCTATTTAGGAATCACAAATCATTCTTTATTTTTTATTTTAGGTAGGTAGGTAGGTAGGTAGGTAGGTAGGTAGGTAGGTAGGTAGGTAGGTAGATGATAGACAGACAGACAGATCTGGGCCCAGCTGCATTTGGTAGCTCTTCCATCGGCTCCAGCCTCCCTGGAGGAACAAACCAGTTATCATACCTCAATATCATGTTGCCATGTTTGCCATGTTGAAGGACTGTTACAAAGATGAGGAAGCAAAGCTATTTTACGAAGCACCTGAAGGCAGGACAAGAAACAATGGATGGAAACTATTCAAGGAGAGAAACAACCTAGAACTAAGGAGGCATTTCCTGACAGTGAGAACAATCAACCAGTGGAACAGCTTGCCTTCAGAGGTTGTGGGTGCTCCATCGCTGGAGGCTTCCAAGAAGAGACTGGACAGCCACTTGTCTGAAATGGTATTAAGGTCTGCTCGAGCAGGGAGTTGGACTGGATGACCTCCAAGATCCCTTCCAACACTGTTATTCTATGCTATTCTAATGTCAGGCCACAAAAGGAGATGAAGATGATCTAATGAAGCTTTGTCATTCTCTAAGTGAACTTCAACAGGAAAAAAGGTCAATGCTCAGACAGAATGTGGAAATTACTAAAGCACAGAAACCACAGGAGGCAGCAAAGCTTTCTGCTCCAGGGGAAAAAAATCCCGTGGGATATTTAACTCCTACCCTCCTCTAATCTTTGAAATGACAATCAGCATAAAGAAACTCACATAGCTTGGGCATTTGATATATAGTTTGCCAATTTTGCTTGGCATTTTTGAAGGAAACAGCACCAGGGGAAGACAATAGATTGGATGGATGGAATCAGGGAGCTCACTAGTATACACTTGGAAAAGTTACAGATTTTGTTCTGAAGTTGGGTCCCAATATCAGATATCTTCCCACACAATCACCAGACATCAACCCAACTCAGCAGCGTTTAAGCAGCTGACCCTTTAGCACCTTAGACTCTTACTTTAGCTGCCAACATTTCTCAGTAATGTCTTTTTAATCAAAATCTCAAATAAATAGCTAAGCTGTTCCTACTCTACTCAAACCATATTCATACATATATTTATTAACCAGTTCCTGCTGGGTCATTGTTTCAGAGGAATTTCCTTACCTAAACAAAAACACAGAATAACACTGACAGGGGAAAAAAAGCAGGAGTAACTTCCAGCTTCTCCATTGACTTTCCTTATGGGAAGCTAGCAGAGAACATTGAAAGTAGCAGCACTCAAGTGGCCATAACTTCACCAAATTTTAATCCCACGGGAATAATGGATAATGATAATAATGGATTCCAAAATTCAGATGAATTCTGTAAGTTGTTAGCCCATTACAGATACATTGATTCTCACCCAATTGAAGATTACAAACAGGACTACAAGGAGTGTTTTAGTGTATATAGATTATGACTTGTATTTAACACGTATTTCCTTTGTGGAACCTAACCATTCCATATTCTTTTTATTTGTAATCTCCACAACAGAAATAATTTGAATTGATTTGCTATTCCTCAAAGATCATTTAAGCATTAATTCTTGTGTATTTCATGGAAGACTGCAAAGAAATTACTGTATGATAAAACCATCAAAAGTAGTTTATTGATAATATCAGCACATTCTTTAGTGCATGTATATACCTAAGAACATGAGTCTCGAGTTTATATTCCCATGAAGACATATGAATCTATCACCTTGTATTTTTCTATTATGCTGTTAACTTGACTTATTTTCCTGGAACTAGACCGATATCATTCACTCAAGGAAAAAATTATGTCAAATATTTGTAAACCAACTTAAAGCTGGTTCTGACAAGCACACCAAGACTGGATTTTCCATTCTACAAGTTATTTAATCCCACAGTTTTAAACTTGTTATCACATTCATGCAACTTCGACCAATTTCACAAACTTGAAATTTTTATGGCTGTTTGAGGAACATGATTTCGAAACATCAATTTGTTATGAATCAAATGGAAAGAAAATATATCTAAAATCAGGTAATAGCTTCAAAGCAATTCAGTCCCTGACTGGTTGTATTCATTTTATAATATATCCATCATGTTCCACAACAGGTTACTCATTCAATCCCCATTTAAATATCTCCAGCAAAAAGAACAGCATTACTTAAAGAAGGCTGTTCTGCTCTTACCGACAGCAACTTCTGCCTAATATTCAGCTGTCAATCTTTCTTTTAATTTCAGCTACCAGTAGTTCTCCTCCTTTCTTCGGTCTCAATAGAGAACACATTCACTTAAGCACTCTGCAGGCACCAGCCTTTTAGATCTTTGTAGACATCTCTCCCCTGAGGCTTTTCTTCTGCAACAGAAACATACTCAGATCCTTGACCCATTCCTCACACAATCTGGCTTCCAGCCTCCTTAACTCTCTGGGTGCTCTGAAACAGTTCCTTTCAAAGAGCAATGCCCGAACAATATGCCCTGAGCTGAAACCAACGCAGAGCATAATGAAACCATTACCTCCACTGATCTGGATGCAATTCTTCTGCCAATGCCTTGTAATAAATACTGCACTGGCTTTTTGAGTCACTGCATCACTCTTTCATAACATTTCACCGGATGATCGCCTAAGACTCTTAAATCCTCTCGCAAGTCCTACCTCCAAAACAAATTTAGTCAACTAATCATTTGCAAGGCTAATCATTTCAGGTATTTTCATTTAAACAGGACTAAGGCATCTTCTTTCCAGTTTAAACAGAAACGCAGCTCTGTATATCAAAGTGCAAATGCAAACAGAACCCTGACTGCTTCCAAAAGCCTGCAATTTGTCCCTCTCTTTCAGAAGCATTATGAGAAGACCCGGCTCTTTGGAAAAGGCTCTGATGCTGGGAAAGGTGGGAGCCCAACAGAAAGGAGTGACCATCAGGGATTTGAATGGACTCAGTTGCAGCAGCGATGGATGCATTAGTAGAAGACCTGAAAGACCAGGTTAGGGGCGAATCTTCCTGGTAAAAACCTACTTATGTGGTTGCTCAAAGTCAACCCCGATTTGATGGCACACACTTAAATCAATCCACGCGGACGGTATGCAGGAAGATGATGAAAAGGACACAGATAGTAAGTCCGGATAGTCTCTTGAAGTACACTTTGAGTCACAGACACACACATGCATGCATGCATGCACACACACATGCATGCACACCACAAACAAACCAGGTTTTTGAAATGCAGCTCTCTTTTGCTAAGTTTCCCAGGAGTTCCCCCTCCCCTCCCCCGACACGGCCCACCCGTTTCCCCCCCTTTGGCCTGACCAGACCCGAACGGCCTGCTGATCCGGGAGCCCAGCAGCCGTCCGCCTCCGAGACCCTCGGGCCGTCTGCCGTGCGGGGAGGGAGAGGAGGGCCAGGCAGATCAGCTGCTCACCTGGGGCAAGGACGGGGGGGGGCTCGGCGCCCTCTCTCCCTCCCTCCCCCCTTCCCTCCGGAGGAGGAGGAGGAGCAGAGGCGGCGTGGCAAGGGAGAGGGGAAGCCGTCCGGGCCGGCCCCAGTAGCCCCTCCGAGCCTCGCCCGGCCCTGCCGTTGGGCCAAGTGACCCGCGGAGGTCGTTTCGTCCTCCCACCAATAAGAGGCGCTGCGGGGATTTGTTTCACCTCCCCCCTCCCAGGCCCGAGCTGGTTCCGCAGCCCTCACCGCCGCTTTTCCCCGAGCCGCCGTCTCCGGAGAGAACGCCGCGACTCCTCTTTCTCCGTCTCTGCTTCGCACTCACCCGTGTGGCCACGTCGGTGCGGAAGGCGGCGGAGGCGGCGGCGCGCCTCGAGAAGCATCCTGAGCGCCTCTCACGGCGCCGCGACGACCCCTCGCTGCTACGGAGGGGGGAGCGTGAGCCAAAAACAATCAGCGAGCCAGGGGGCGTGGCTTGTGCGGAGGCCTGAGGAATTCTGGGGGTTGAAGTCTACCCATCTTCGAATGGGTCAAACTAACTCTACCTAGTTGACCAGATCATGCTGTGTGGTTAAATAAGTGTGGACCTTTTTTTGTGGAAAAGAAAACCAGGGAAAAAATCCTTCCAGTTATGGGTTGCAACCTATGGCAATTGCCTTTTGATTCCCCTTGGGCTAAAAAAAAAAAAGACCTTAAAATAGATATTATGTCTACAACAATGTGAAATCGCAACTGACAGTACTTTAACTGATGTTGGCTTTCTTATGCATTGAGATCTTCTCAAGAACTTAGGACTGATTTATTAATCAAAATTATATGGCTACCTATTTCACGGAAGATTATTGGACAATGTACAACAGTTCAGAATGTTGTTATCCTGATAAAATCGTTGGCCTAGTATGTGTAGATGCAAGCAATGTGGTCTTTTGTAACTAATGGGTGGAAATTTTGTCAATATGCAGTATTATTAGATTTTTTTATCCACCTTTTTATATATAATTCAAAGTAGTGAACATGCCTAATTCTCCTGCTTCCATTTTCCCCACAGCAACAGTCCTCTGAGATGGGTTGGACTGAGAATTAATTGATACCTGGGCAAACCTACTTTTTCCATTGGAATCAACACAATACAATTGGGGAGGTTTTCTCAACTGGACACACACACACCTTTATGAAAAGTCGCTCTCTAAAGTCCACCTTGAATCAATAGTTTGAAATCGGAACAAGAAAAATAGTTCCTCAAACTGTGAGGTTACAACCACTTACTCTATGTTTCGTGGTTTAGCTAGTTTGTTTCTACTGTATTTCATTGTTTGCAGTAGTGGATCTTTCTTAAAAAATGAAATTGCATTAAGATTTTTTGGTGTCAAAATATAGATAATCCTTGACTTACAACCATTTTTTTAGCGACCGTTCAAAATTACAATGGCATTGAAAACAGTGATTTACGAGTGGACTTGCAACATCCCCATGATCACATGATCAAAATTTGGGTGTTTGGCAACTGGCATGTATTTATGACAGTTGCATTGTCCCAAGATCATCATTTGCAACCTTTCTAGCCAGCTTCCAACAAGTGAAATCGATGGGGAAAACCAGATACACTTAATGACCGTATGATTCACTTAACAACTGCACTTATTTAATTAATAACTCTGGTGAGAAAGGTCGTAATATGGGACAAAAAGTGTTAAAAATTGCCTTGCTTAGCAATGGAAATGCTGGCCTTAATTGTCATAAGTCAAGGACTATCTATACTTCCATTTGTAACCAATGATAAATGTGCAGGATACATGGTAGAGAAATTTCTGTGGAGAGGTGAGGGTTCACAAGCAAAATAATGGCCATACTTTCATAATTGTAGCTCCACTACCTTTTTACCTGCAGTGCACACAACTCACATGTTAATAATGGCTGGATTTTGACTGTGTTATCACAGACATCATCGTGACTCCTTTGACTCTTCCATCCAAATATCTCTCCATTGTATACATGTGTAAAGTTCTTTTGGATTAATATATGTCCCCTTCATTAAAAAAGGTGCCAAAAAGTCAAACAGAGGACATCTTGCAATTGTTCCAACTTTGAAAATTGTTTTTGATCACTTTTAATCAAGACTCTTAGTCACACTTCCACATGCATTAACTGAGTTTGACAAGAACCCTAATCTTGTTTAAAAGGCCACCATTCCTCAGAAAAAATGTGATTTTTAGTACTCTTGTTCCCAGTTCCAAAACATATAAAATTCAAAATATAGTGAGATTGAATATAAATCAAACCATTTTTCAGCGTCCAATTCTGCCTTTCCCTCTATGATCACTCCCACTTAACCTTTAGCAGAGTTTTTAGCTAGGAAAACATTTCAAAGTTCCAGTTGTCTCTTATCAACCTGGCAAATGTAATGAGAGATCTATGCCAGTGAATATTTATTTGCTGAAGCACAAATAGCATCTGATATTATGATTTGAAAAGAAAAAACAAGCCATGTTGCAATATATTGTCCTTAATAACAGCAGTATTTCTCTGCTAAAAGTGACAATTCTAATGGTTGAACTTGTCCAAAAAAGGGAATTTAAGACCAGATCTTCATGGAGGCAAATGTTGCATATCTAAAAGCAGAACCAAGCCTGAAAAATAGTTTTGTCAACTACAAGTACTACTTAACTTACAACAATAATAAAGTAAGTCATGATGGTTGTAAAAAGGATTTGTCATGTCACTGACTCAATTTTATAAAAAAAAATTTCAGTAGTCATTAAGTGAATGTCATGGTTGTTAAGTGAACCATTGGTTCACTGTGGATGTGGTTTTGTCAAAAATTGGAAGTAAATGTCAGGTTTTGGCAAAACTCATAAAATGAGATCATGTGGCTGTTGGGCTGCTGAAAACCAGCACCCGAAGTTCAGTCACATGACTGAGGGGGCCGCTGATGTCCAGAACCTTGAATCCAGGTTGTAAATAGAGCCTAGTAGGTCTGTCATAATTTTGAATGGTTGCAAAGCGACCAATCATAAGTTGATGACTACCTGTAACATCAGCCCAATGATATTGCTGACATAGAGTTTTCTGATCTTATTCCATTAAAATTAGGTCCATGTATCTATTTTAATAACTTACTTTCTTTTGTGTTTATTTGATTTAGATCTCAACTTTCTTCCAAGGAGAGAATGAAGACTGCCTTATAGTCTTCCTTATAACTTTTGCTTATAACACACACACACACACATACAGTATGTACACTTTTGACTAATTGATTGAACACAGTCACGTGACACATGTTTAACAGAAGTTGCAACAAGATCTAAAAAATAATCTCCATTAAACACTGATACAGAAGACATTTATTTATTCATTTGATTTTTATCCCACCTTTATAAATAACTCAAGGGGGGGGGAAACATTCACAATAGTCCTTCTTTCTCTTCCTTACAACAACAACCCCATGAAGTGCGTTGGGCTGAGAGTGAGAATGATTGGTCCAAACTCATCCAATCAGCTTCCACGTCTAAAGTGGAACTAGAACTCACCGTCTCCTAGTTTCCAATACTTCCTTTAAGACAGTGGTTCTCAACCTGTGGGTCGGGACCCCATTTGGGGTCAAATGACCATTTCATGGGGGTCGCCAAACCACGCTGTCCGCCATTTTTTTCCCTTTTCCCTAGCTGTCCTACTCCCTCTTATTGGTGGCCACACCCACTTGGGGGTCACCACAACATGGGGAACTGTTTTATGGGGTCACGGCATTAGAAAGGTTGAGAACCACTGCTTTAAGATATTGTGGCCTAATACAACCTCTTTCAAACTAAATGCACTAGAATAGGAGATAACTAAAATTAAAAAAAAACAGCAAGAAAAGAAGTTTAGAAGGAGTGAAATTCAGGAAAAGAGGAACTTGGGACTCTTTGTTGACACTGATATTGTTAGATATTCTCAAATGCAACCCCCCCCCCTACACTCTTTTTGGGGGGAGGGCAGATGTAATTCTCCATGCTTTCACTAGATGGATCTCCAGAACCATCTGATACTGGATCAGATATACTGTACTCAACTGACAATAAAGTAGCAGGATCTTGAAGAATCAAAAATCAGAGAAAAGGTTGAAGGAAACAACATCAACAATCTTCAAAATGCTGATGGCTCCACTCTCCTTTCAAAAACCAAACAAGGCTGGAAACATCTGATCGAAAGGATTAAAGAAGGAAGCGAGAAATTTGGCCTCTTCCTGAACATCCAAAAGATCAGGCTTATGACCTTTCTAAGGAACAAAAGTGTCAAAAAGAATTGTACAAGAATTCACTTTTCTAAGATCACAGATTGATGAAAGCAGTCAATACAGTCCAGAAATAAAGCATCGAATCACAGTGGTAGCATAGCAATGATGGACAATGCATTGAGTATGAAAAAGCAAAATCATTACCCTAGCAGCTAAATGCAGATTAATCTATCTGGACCATGAAAAAACAAGACAGGAAGAAAATCAATTTGTTTAAGCTGAAGTGTTGGGGAAGGCTCCTGCGCACTCCTTGGATAGCAAAACTGACAAACAAACGTTTAGTGCTGGAGGGTATAAAACCAGGGATATGAAAGGTAAGATTACAACATTCTACCTTACTTATTTCATCCATGTCATGCAATCAAACTCATTGGAAAAGGCAATTTTGCTCTGAATGTTCAGTGGTAAAAAGGAAATGAGGACACCAAAGAAATATGGCTAGACAACATCAAAACCAGCACCAGCCAGAGCATTAAAATAACAGAAAGAAGTTATATAAGATTGGAATATGAGGAGATAACTGGTCCATAATATTATTGA